ACCATCACACATCAGGGCCTATATCTATCAGGGTCATCACATAACCGGGCCATTACACACCAGGGTCATCACACACCAGGGCCATCACACACCAGGGCCATCATACACCAGGGCCATCACACACCAGGGTCATCACAGAACAGGGCCATCACACAACAGGGCCATCACACATCAGGGTCATCACACATCAGGGCCAATATCTATCAGGGTCATCACATAACCGGGCCATTACACACCAGGGTCATCACACACCAGGGCCATCACACACCAGGGCCATCATACACCAGGGCCATCACACACCAGGGCCATCACACAGCAGGGCCATCACACACCAGGGCCATCACACACCAGGGTCATCACACACCAGGGTCATCACACACCAGGGTCATCACACATCAGGGCCATCACACATAAGGGCTATCACACACCAGGGCCATCACACATCAGGGTCATCACACAACAGGACCATCACACAACAGGGTCATCACACACCAGGGTCATCACACACCAGGGTCATCACACACCAGGGTCATCACACATCAGGGCCATCACACATAAGGGCCATCACACACCAGGGCCATCACACATCAGGGCCATCATACACCAGGGCCATCACACACCAGGGCCATCACACAGCAGGGTCATCACACATCAGGGCCTATATCTATCAGGGTCATCACATAACCGGGCCATTACACACCAGGGTCATCACACACCAGGGCCATCACACAACAGGGCCATCACACAACAGGGCCATCACACACACGGGCCATCACACACCAGGGCCATCACACACCAGGGCCATCATACACCAGGGCCATCACACACCAGGGCCATCACACAACAGGGTCTATATCTACCGGGACCAAAACACTATCAGTGAATATAAAATACTTTCAATCAGCCAAGTTATAGTTTACAGTCAGCCAGACAGATGTGTTGTATGTAGGATCTGTATGGACACTTTGAAGTATCTGTGACATCTCAGGGAGGCTGCGGACTGTTACCGTAATTATACTTGCCTAGTTGGTTTTCATACACGTAAAGTCAATTAGGCAAACACTCACAGATTTCTGTAAGATGTCAGACCTTCTACAGTTCTGAAAATACATACAGGAAAAATCAGAGAGTTTAAAATGTATACTTTATAACCAACAATGGTCATCAGTGGTCAAGTTATCCTTTATAACCATCCCTTGTCATCAGTGGTCAAGTTATCCTTTATAACCAACCCTAGTCATCAGTGGTCAAGCAGACATAGTGTACTGTATACCTGTATAGAGTGACCAGTAATAAGACAAACTGTACTGTATACCTGTATAGAGTGACCACTACCTAGACAGAGTTTACTGTATACCTGTATGGAGTGACCACTACCCAGACATAGTATACTGTATACCTGTATAGAGTGACCACTACCCAGACAAACTGTACTGTATACCTGTATAGAGTGACCACTACCCAGACATAGTGTACTGTATACCTGTATAGAGTGACCACTATCCAGACTCAGTGTAGTGTATACCTGGGTAGTGGTCACTCTATACTGGTATACAGTACACCATATCTGGGAAGTGGTCTTATTATACAGGTACAATTAACACTGTTTCATATTGGCTATACACTATTCTAACAATGATACATACAAATACATGTGAACATTCCTGTACATGTATTACTCCTCCCTGGTCGGGCTACAGACAGCCACCTGTACAGAGTTGGAATGACAACTACATCCGATAGAATCTCTGCAACACATGATAGCACTGGGGATGTAACACACTGGAATTCTGGGGATGTTTGTGAGGATGTATGACAAGTATTTCTGTGTTAAGGCTGCTTCACAACTCATTTCATCATGGAAATATTTCCTCTTGTGTAACACCCTGTGTGTAATATGACAAAACAGCCCTGAGCTCAGACAAAGTGTTAACATCACAACACTGAATACATTATCTATCAGACAAAGTGTTGGTCTTGGTCTGGACTTGTATCATTGATCTAGACTGGTATATTTGATTTTGTTATATCTCATTGGTTGGCAGGTAGCATAAGTCTTGTTTTGTCTCATTTGTCTAAACGTGCAAATTCAACGGTCTGGTGTGTTTTGGAGGGGAGGATTCCACACAATCCCATAACATTAGTACATAGTTTGTCCAGTGTATTATCAGTAGATTAACTTGGTGACAGATCTAATTACTTTGTCCCAGGTCTGGACAGTTGATGGCTAGGTTATCTCTGATACAGAGCAGTGAATCTACTGGGACTGGCTAATAGTGTGTGTGTGTCAAAGTGCTGATCAAACTCACAGTATTCCACCATACCAAATTAATTCACAGCATGGTACAGTAATTTGGGTGTAGAATTGTGATTTGTATATTCAAGAGGCTCAATGGGCTTGTATTGTTGTTTAATGCAATTTGGAAAATTGAAAAAACAAATTTATACAAAAAACAGATAACAATCAAGCTATCACTGTGTGGTAAATATCATAATCAGTATAGTTTGTACAAAATGGTCTTACTTTTGGTCTTAAGGACAATTAGCAATTGTTTCAAGTTTTTCACACTTATGACCCCTGTGACCAAGAAAGTAGGTCAGGGTCATTTATTAGGAAAACTTGATATCCCTTAGCTACAGCAAGCTACAGGTCAAATATCATTTAGCATGTATCTTTGTAGGAAGTCATTTACAGATTTCAGCAAGTTTGAACCCTGAGTCCTTGAAAGCAAATCAAGGTAATTTCTTTGATAGACTTTTACCCCATTATGCTACAGGACAAATATCATTAGGTCTCTTGGATATTCATAAGAACTTGTTTAAACATTGAATTCCTGTAACCTTGAAAGTGAGTCAGGTTTATGCATATGAACAAACTTGATAGCTGCAATCATCACAGCATTGAACGATTAATTTATCTTTTAGACAAAGTGTTCACATCAAATTTATCTATAATGACAAAGTGTTCACATCAAGTTTATCTCTGATGACAAAGTGTTCACATCATATTTATCTATAATGGCAAAGTGTTCACATCAAATTTATCTATAACGACAAAGTGTTCACATCAAATTTATCTCTGATGACAAAGTGTTCACATCATATTTATCTATGATGGCAAAGTGTTCACATCAAATTTATTTATAACGACAAAGTCTTCACATCAAATTTTATCTTTTAGACAAAGTGTTCACATCAAGTTTATCTTTTAGACAAAGTGTTCACATCAAATTTATCTCTGATGACAAAGTGTTCACATCATATTTATCTATAATGACAAAGTGTTTACATCAAATTTATCTATAATGACAAAGTGTTCACATCAAGTTTATCTTTTAGACAAAGTGTTCACATCAAATTTATCTTTTAGACAAAGTGTTCACATCACAACATTGCTCACGTTACTCGGCATCGTGTTGGTGATGTCAATGGGTGCCCACTCTTTACCTTAGTGTAGGGTCAGTTGGTGCGTTCTTACTTTAATTAGAAACACAAGCTCTCTAATCACAGATAAACTATCATTGTTCCTAAATTAAAATACTTTCAAGCTACAGATTTCGACCACCAAAAGTCATTAACATACTAGCACATATGATAGGACACAGTTAACTGATAAAGTGTAATGGCTGCCCAAACTTTATCATCAAAGACATTCTGGTACCACCCACCATCACCATATGGTGTGTTAATGTTAGCATCACAAGCTGGTAGTGTTAACCTGCTGGATGGTAGCCACAGAAATTATACTGTCGTACTAGTATTTATGGTCTCCTGTTCTCTACTGCTTTCTTTAATCCTTTTCATTCTGAACACTGTGAGATGTTTTTCTCACATCTTGTGAGATAATGTTTCTCTTTACATTCTCACACCCTTCATATACGGTATTTTGAGATTATCTGTTTCATTCTATATTCTCTCACACCCGGTACCTTGTGAGATGTGCTGTTTCTATTTAAATTCTCACACCCTTCATACACAGTAATTTAAGATTGTCTTCCTATAAACTCTCACATCCTGCACCTTATGAAATGTGCTGTATCTATTTATTTCTTACATCCTTTACATCCAGTCATGGAGAAAAATCAAATTTGTCTCATCTATAAGGGTAATGCATCAAAGATTATAATATAATAATTGAATGATTTAAATTTACTGAAGACCTCTATTATTGTACAGTCTGGATATTATATATATCACTATGTCATATATATGTAGTAATTTTGTAATAATTTAGATTACTTACTTACTTAGGCTGAGTACACATCTTATATAGATGTGTTGTATGTGTGAGGGTATGTGTGAGGGTGTGTGTGACATGTAGGCATGTGGGTATGTATAAGCTTGAGTAGATGTTTACATATTTAATTATTATACATTACACGAAGTAATCATTCTACTCTCTGAATATTGTTTAATACTACCATTAATGCTTTCATGTTAAAATCTATTTCTCTTTATATACATACATCACTGTCTATGATATCTATTATTTACTTTATTCACTTTGACTTGTATATATGTGGTACCTATTGGAGAGGACTTATATAGGCTTGCCTGTTGTCCAATCTATTTATTTTTTTAAACAATAAAATTTGTTGAAATAAAAATAATGCATCAAAGACAAACGTTTCCTACCTGGAAGGGTACTCCATCAAAGACAAGCATTGCCTTCCTGTACTGCATCAAAGACAAACATGGCCTACCTTAAAAGGGCAGTGCATCAAAGACAATCTTTACCTACCTGGAAGGGTACTGCATCAAAGACAAACATGGCCTACCTGGAGGGGTACTGCATCAAAAACAAACTTTACCTACCTGGAAGGGTACTGCATCAAAGACAAACATGGCCTACCTGGAGGGGCACTGCATCAAAGACAAACTTTACCGACCTGGAAGGGCAGTGCATCAAAGACAAACTTTACCTACCTGGAATATCAATGCATCAAAGACAAACTTTACCTACCTGGAATATCAATGCATCAAAGACAAACTTTACCTACCTGGAACGGTACTGCATCAAAGAAGATAGCCAGGAACCAGTTGAGTGTAACTGTAGAGATCTCAATGTCAATGTTGTCGAGGTGACGATTGAGGGCTGGTAGTTTCTCTGCTAAGATGTCTTTGAACACATGTTGATCAGACTGAGCACCAATAAGATTGTGGTCAAAGTAATGCTTCTGGAAGAACCGCTCTGTGAAAGCCACCAGCATCCTGTAGCACGATCATAGTACATTATATAAGTGTAATAAACCAATTTCTTGGTCAATATGTAAAAATCATATGTAAAATCATATGTAACCTGAACCCTATCTACCTGTGTCAAATCCCTACACTAGATCAAGTTATCAGCTGACTTTCTATAACAGAGAAAGAAGTCTTGACAGAATATCATTATAGGATAGTTTAGATGTATCTAAAGGTTCTAACTAAAACAACAGTGGCCTTGAACTTTCACCTACAAATCCTCTTTTCACCCACAACAAGTAATGAAGTTTGAGCAGCGTAGGTCACAGGAGAGAAACAAACTGTATCTAAAAGTATGTTTTCGCAAACAAGAACATATGTCTACCCTCATTTATAATAGCCAATATTCTTTCCCTTCCCCTTGCAAAATAAAAATATGCTAATAAGTCAAAAAACGTTTATCTACAATTTTATTAAATACGTTTAAGTTATTAGAAGAACTGCATACCAATAAATTATATAATGGATAAAAGTTATGTAATGAAAGTGCAGTGCACCTCATCTTAGTTTGCACTTATTTAACTTTTGACCTTCAGGTCAAGGTCATAGTGACCTTATGATAGTGCACTGTACATCATCTGTAGGTGATGCATGTATACTGCAAGTTTCATCAAGACAATTCAACGGCTGTAAAGTTACAGCCCTGACAGGAATTTATTAGAACAAGAGGCCCAATGGGCCTGAATCGCTCACCTGGTATTAATATCACACTTGTTATCTTAAAAGTGGACAAATATACAGCTTCAGTGAAAATATTAAAATATTTAAACATATGACGACTGTGATCTTGAAAGTCAAACAAGGACATTAAGTTGAACAGAGTTATAGCCTTCAATCCCAGCATGCTTCTGGCCAAATATCATTACCCTGGACCTTTTGGTAATTCAGAACAAGTCATTTAAAGATTTAAACATTTTTGATCCCTGTGACCTTGAATATGAGCGAAGGTCACTCATTTGAACAAACTTTGTTGCCCTTTATCCCAGCATGCATGCTACTGGCTAAGTATCATCATCCTAGCCTTTTGGTTATTGAGAAGAAGTTGTTTAAAAGTTTTAAACATATTTGATCCCTGTAACCTTGAATATGAGCGAAGGTCATTCGTTTGAACAAACTTGGTTGCTCTTTAACTCAGCATGATAATGATAATTTGATATTTAATATATTAAATTATAGTTTTTATACAACGATGTAGCCAGCTCCTCTTTTGTTTTAGCTGTTATAATAATATAAGTTGTTTTGTATAGTTTATATCCAACTCATGACGTTTCTCTATTCAGTCATGATAATTGCATGGGCTGTATGGTTATATATGTTAATGAAGGTATGGTAATTAGTAGATGAGAAATTGACCAATCACAGAGCAGTATATTGTCCCCTATAGGGGTCTCTTAAATGGGTAGCAGCCTCCTTCATCCGGGGAGTCTGCAGTGAACCACGGTTGTTTATGTGTACCCACCCACCGTCCCCAGCTACATGCCAAGTTTCATATATGCATATAAGTTCTGCCAATTGTAATGTAGTACTTATCTTTTGTTGTTTCCCTGAATTTAGCAGCTGTCCCTTTTCTCATGATTGTATCTTTGTGCAATGTCATTTTTACATGTACCATGTATACTTGCCTGTGCAGGTATTATTGCTCTCTTGTAGGTTTGGGCTACTCACTTCAGGTAGGTTATTATATTTCTTCGCTAATCTGACTTTAAAATCTAGGGGAATTCACCCCCAATCTCAACATAGTTTTATATTAGTGTGGGAATGCGGCTTCTCTTGTATTACAGGAGTCTAGCTGCTCTCATCATGGCTTCTCTAGGGGTGTTCACAACCAGAGCCTAGTCGCTTCTCTTGAGACATTTTCAGAGTCTAGCTGCACACTTCTTTGGGCTGTGTAGGTGCTTCTCTGAAGACATTTTCAGAGTCTAGCTGCTTCTCTGGGATGCGGCTTCTCTTGTATCACAGGAGTCTAGCTGCTCTCATCGTGGCTTCTCTAGGGTGTTCACAACCAGAGTCTAGTCGCTTCTCTGGAGACATTTTCAGAGTCTAGCTGCTTACTTCTCGGGACTGTGTAGGTGCTTCTCTGAAGACAGAGTCTAGCTGCTTCTCTCAATACCCCCGGAGTCTAGCTTGTTCAAAAAATAGTAGCATAAATATATGGTAGTAAAATTGTTGGAGTGAGTAGCCCCTGATGCGCCAAATGTATTACTGTATGTAAATATGTTGCTAACAAGAGTAATAAACAGGTTAACTGTTTCCTGTGAGTTAGTTGTATATAAACTGGCCAAATATCATCATCTTAGGCTTTTTGGTTATTGAGAAGAAGTTGTTTAAAGTTTTTAAACATATTTGACCCCTGTGACTTTGAAAATGGGCAAAGATCATTTGTTTGCACAAACTTGTTAGCCCTTTACCTTAGCACGCTATTGGCCAAATATCAACATCCTAGGCCTTTTGGGTATTGAGAAGAAGTTGTTTACAGGTTTTAAACATATTTGACCCCCTGACCTTGAATATATGTCAAGGTCATTCACTTGAACAAACTTGGTAGCCCTTCACCCCAGCATGTTACTGGCCAAATATCATCAACTTAGACCCCTTTGTTATTCAGAAGAAGTTGTTTTAAAGGTTTTAAACAAATAAGACCCCTGTGACCTTGAATATAAGTCAAGGTCATTCATTTGAACAAACTTGGTAGCCCTTCATCCCAGCATGTTACTGGCCAAATATCATCACCCTGGGCATTTTGGTTATTCAGAAGTTGTTTAAAGTTTTTAACATATTTTACTCATGTGACGTTGAATATAGGTGAAGGTCATTTATTTGAACAAACGTGGTAGCCCTTCATCCCAGTTTGCTTCTGGCCAAATATCTTCACTCTAGGCCTTTTGGTTATTAAGAAGAAGTTGTTTAAAGTAAAATATTGACGCCGTACAGACGCCGGACGCTGCGCCACGCCATAAGCTCACTTGCACTGCTGGCAGGTGAACTAAAAACCAGAAGAACAACAAGAAACATAAGAAGAACTTCAATAAAGGTTTACACTGAAGATAGAGACATCATGTATCAGTGTCCTTATCAGCCAGATTTTGAAATACAAGCAATAAACACTGACCAGAATGCGTCCTGGGCATCCATGAAGAGCAGCGCCATGCCTACGATGAAGTTCATGCCCTGGCAGTAGCCTGTGGCCGGATTGTGTACACAGAACGCCAGTAGTACGTCCTGTAGGTCCATAATCTGTCAACAAATAATAACATTGGTCAGTTCTGGTGTCAACATATCAATCATTTCTATAGTAAACATGTGTTACTCCTTAGCAGCTATAACACTTAACTTACTCCTTAGCAGCTATAACACTTAACTTACTCCTTAGCAGCTATAACACTTAACTTACTCCTTAGCAGCTATAACACTTAACTTACTCCTTAGCAGCTATAACACTTAACTTACTCCTTAGCAGCTATAACACTTAACTTACTCCTTAGCAGCTATAACACTTAACTTACTCCTTAGCAGCTATAACACTTAACTTACTCCTTAGCAGCTATAACACTTAACTTACTCCTTAGCAGCTATAACACTTAACTTACTCCTTAGCAGCTATAACACCTAACTTACTCCTTAGCAGCTATAACACCTAACTTACTCCTTTATAACTGGAAGGCTCATAACTCAACTTACTCCTTTACAACTGGAAGGCTCATAACCCAACTTACTCCTTAACATCTACATTGCTTAACTCAAAACTTACTCCTTTACAGCTATAAGACTTCATATGACTTACTCCTTTAGATCCTACCATGGAGAACTTTGTGTTACTAGGCATCGTCCGCATCAGGTCCAATGATATCTGTTTCCTGTAGCATGACGCCATCTACAAAGGCATAAGGGCCATACATGTCATGTGAATAATGACAACATAAAGAAAATAAAACTTGGTAATTTACATCACTGTAAGGTGAATACACTAGATATCTAACAGGTAAAAACAAGACTAACAGGGTATATTGTGTATAGGAGAAAGGAACATATTGATCAATACAAATACAAATGTAGGTAACTCACAGGTGAGTCAGGTAGGGCATTACAGAGGTTTCGAAAGTAGTGCATGCCCTTCTGCTCAATGGTGTCCTTGATCCGATGAAAGATCAGCTGTCTCCACACCTGCTTACGGAATCGGTCCGGTATTCCTCCTCGACAAAGTATCTTCAGCTCCTTATACTACCCAACATAACAACAGAGGACATATTAGTTAACATTATATACAGGGTAACATTTTATATACTATATACATATCTACAATGATGTTAATATACATGGTTGTTGATGGAATTGTACATACATGGTTTGTGATAGACTTTGTACATACATGGTTTGTGATAGACTTTGTACATACATGGTTTGTGATAGACTTTATACATACATGGTTTGTGATAGACTTTGTACATACATGGTTTGTGATAGACTTTGTACACATACATGATTTGTGATAGACTTTATACATACATGGTTTGTGATAGACTTTATACATACATGGTTTGTGATAGACTTTGTACATACATGGTTTGTGATAGACTTTATACATACATGGTTTGTGATGGACTTTGTACATACATGGTTTGTGACAGACTTTGTACATACATGGTTTGTGATGGACTTCCCATGCTGTCTCATGAAGTGTGTCCACTTCCGGTGGTGGTCCTCATAGGAGCCAGCCTGTAGGATATAATGATGGGTGAGCTCCTGACACAGATAATGGAGCAGCAAGCCCTGGTCCTCAAACACGTGTTTAAATCCGTACGCGTCCACATGGATCTCTCCACTGTTCAGACTACAATCATACAATATTAATACTGAACACTGGATTGATATCTGTACACATCCACATGTGGACAGATTGTGGCATACAATAGTCTTTGTAGTGGAGAGACTTGGACATACAGAAGTTTTTGTAGGAATGATAGAGAAATTCACCATTTTTTAGCTGTGGATGTACTCAGACATTCTATATTTTTTTATGTGGACCGACTGGGGCATGTTGCCCCTTTTGTAGGGAGAGTATACTGTACCTTTCATATGTAGGCAGGCTTGGTTTGTAGGGAGATAAACTTGTGTATACTGTATCTTTCATATATAGGCAGGCTTGGATTGTAGGGAGATAAACTTGAATATACTGTACCTTTCATATGTAGGCAGGCTTGGTTTGTAGGGAGACAAACTTGTGTATACTGTATCTTTCATATATAGGCAGGCTTGGATTGTAGGGAGATAAACTTGAGTATACTGTACCTTTCATATGTAGACAGGCTTGATTGTAGGGAGCCAAACTTGAGTGTACTGTACCTTTCATATGTAGGCTGGCTTGGATTGTAGGGAGCCAAACTTGAGTATACTGTACCTTTCATATGTAGACAGGCTTGATTGTAGGGAGCCAAACTTGAGTATACTGTACCTTTCATATGTAGGCAGGCTTGGATTGTAGGCAGATACACTTGAGTATACTGTACCTTATATATGTAGGCAGGCTTGGATTGTAGGGAGATAAACTTGAGTATACTGTACCTTTCATATGTAGACAGGCTTGATTGTAGCGAGCCAAACTTGAGTATACTGTACCTTTCATATTTAGGCAGGCTTGGATTGTAGGGAGACAAACTTGAGGATACTGTACCTTTCATATGTAGGCAGGCTTGGATTGTAGGCAGATACACTTGAGTATACTGTACCTTATATATGTAGGCAGGCTTGGATTGTAGGGAGATAAACTCGAGTGTACTGTACCTTTCATATGTAGGCAGGCTCGGATTGTAGGGAGACAAACTTGAGTATACTGTAACTTTCATACATACGCAGACTTGGATTGTAGGGAGATAAACTTGAGTATACTGTACCTTTTATATGTAGGCAGGCTTGGATTGTAGGGTGATAAACTTGAGTGTACTGTACCTTTCATATGTAGGCAGGCTTGGATTGTAGGGAGATAAACTTGAGCGTACTGTACCTTTCATATGTAGGCAGGCTTGGATTGTAGGAAGATACACTTGAGTATACTGTACCTTTTATATGTAGGCAGGATTGGATTGTAGGGAGATAAACTTGAGTAAACTGTACCTTTCATACATACATGTATGCAGACTTCGATCGTAAGGAGATAAACTTGAGTATACTGTACCTTTTATATGTAGGCAGGATTGGATTGTAGGGAGATAAACTTGAGTAAACTGTACCTTTCATACATACATGTATGCAGACTTTGATTGTAAGGAGATAAACTTGAGTATACTGTACCTTTCATATGTAGACAGGCTTGATTGTAGCGAGCCAAACTTGAGTATACTGTACCTTTCATATTTAGGCAGGCTTGGATTGTAGGGAGACAAACTTGGGTATACTGTACCTTTCATATGTAGGCAGGCTTGGTTTGTAGGGAGATAAACTTGTGTATACTGTATCTTTCATATATAGGCAGGCTTGGGTTGTAGGGAGATAAACTTGAATATACTGTACCTTTCATATGTAGGCAGGCTTGGATTGTAGGAAGATACACTTGAGTATACTGTACCTTTTATATGTAGGCAGGATTGGATTGTAGGGAGATAAACTTGAGTAAACTGTACCTTTCATACATACATGTATGCAGACTTCGATCGTAAGGAGATAAACTTGAGTATACTGTACCTTTCATACATATGCAGACTTGGATTGTAGGGAGATAAACTTGAGAATACTGTACCTTTTATATGTAGGCAGGCTTGGATTGTAGGGTGATAAACTTGAGTGTACTGTACCTTTCATATGTAGGCAGGCTTGGATTGTAGGAAGATACACTTGAGTATACTGTACCTTTTATATGTAGGCAGGCTTGGGTTGTAGGGAGATAAACTTGAGTGTACTGTACCTTTCATATGTAGGCAGGCTCGGATTGTAGGGAGACAAACTTGAGTATACTGTACCTTTCATATGTAGACAGGCCTGAATGTAGGGAGCCAAACTTGAGGATACTGTACCTTTCATATGTAGGCAGGCTTGGATTGTAGGGAGATAAACTCGAGTGTACTGTACCTTTCATATGTAGGCAGGCTTGGATTTTAGGGAGCCAAACTTAAGTATACTGTACCTTTCATATGTAGGCAGGCTTAGATTGTAGGGAGGCAATCTTGAGTACACTGTATCTTTCATACATATGCAGACTTGGATTGTAGGGAGATAAACTTGAGTATACTGTACCTTTTATATGTAGGCAGGCTTGGATTGTAGGGAGATAAACTTGAGTGTACTGTACCTTTCATATGTAGGCAGGCTTGGATTGTAGGGAGACAAACTTGAATATACTGTATCTTTCATACATAAGCAGACTTGGATTGTAGGGAGATAAACTTGAGTATACTGTACCTTTCATATGTAGGCAGACTTGGATTGTAGGGAGATAAACTTGAGCATACTGTACCTTTCATATGTAGGCAGGCTTGGATTCATTTTGCGAGCATCCTCCAACAGTTTTATGATTCGGTTCTTGTGCTGAAAGAAACATCCAACACCATCTAGAACACACATTCTGATTAATTTTAGATTTAAAATGATCAGGAATAATGTATTTTGGTGAATTTGAATAAAAGGACTTATATGATATAACCTTTACTCAATATTCAACAATTATGAAACAAGTTTAATGAACTGATGAAAAGTTCTTTTTCCACAAACAATAACTTTTTTGTATCTGGAACTCCAACTGCTTCCTTTCTGATCTGGTGAATTTCCTACCTATAAAATATCGTATATTGGAGAGACATTGGGTCCGTCTTGGTGAACACCGGAAAGATACGGAAACCAAAGAAGGTAGGAAATTCACCAAATTGTACTACCGTAAATTTGCGTGTATAGTGCACACTTTTTTAGGTAAATATTGTCATGTCGAAAAGGGGGTGCGCACTATAAACAGGAACAAGTCATTCTTTGGTTATCATTCTCGAGTTTCATGTCCGCCATATTGGATTACCTCCATTTAATAGTTTTGTTTGGAGTCATATATGATAGATTGAAGATAACAAAAACAACATAATTTTAACCTACTCTAAAATGATTAAAATCGGTAATCTGTTGTCATGACTGCTGATTTGGCGACAAACACTAACTGGACACAGATAACATTTTTACAGGTAAGTTGACCGAATGGCATAATACAAAGTTGTGTTATGAAAACATCCACAGATCAATCAAATCTTCTGTAGTGATATTGTTGTGATGAGGAACGAGTCGGAGAGGGCTAGCGCTGTCAGTAGCCAAAGTAGCCATTTACTACTTTTATTTTTCATTGGCTACTAAAAATAGGATGTGGCTTCTAAATTGACTAAAAAGTTTTTAAAAATGAGGAAAATCTGTATCTTTGTCCCAGAAAACGAACTGTCTACTCACGTGTGTATTGTGGCTGACACTGATTACGTAAACATAATCAGGGCCGTCACAGTTCCGCGCGCGCGCTGTAGAATTACGACTGCGAGCTAATTAATGCTTTTATTTAAATTGTAAAGACAATTATCAAGCTTCAGATAGCAACAAGTGTTATAATTCGTGTACATTAATGGACAGTGGGGTCAAGTTAATTGGATCACCCATTGACATTGAGAAAACGGTCTGATCGCTAAGCGAGGCACACAAAGATGCTCTCGCAGACGTACATTTGGTGGCGGTAAGCTTTATGTGTTAAATATATTTAAATCAGTTTACCATTACATGGTCTTCATTTACCTTTTCCAGTACCGTAGCAAACACAATTACATACGATATGCTTGATTAGAAAGTATAAGTATCGCCTTGAAACACCATGTGGAAGTGCCGATTTTCGGCCTATCAGATCACTTCTTCGTGGTTAGACGTTTTAGAATTTCAAGTTATCAAGAAAAGTTATTTAGCATCGCAGTTATGCAGTCTTTAGAACAGCAAACCATTCAGTATGTCTTCAATAAATCAATCGTTAATTAATCGACGTTATAAACACCACGCTACCTTTGATGTTAATTAATCGACATTATAAACACCACGCTACCTTTGATGTTAATTAATCGACGTTATAAACACCACGCTTCCTTTGATGTTAATTAATCGACGTTATAAACACCACGCTACCTTTGGTGTTAATTAATCGACGTTATAAACACCACGCTTCCTTTGATGTTAATTAATCGACGTTATAAACACCACGCTAACTTTGATGTTAATTAATCGACATTATAAACACCACGCTACCTTTGATGTTAATTAATCGACGTTATAAACACCACGCTACCATTGATGCTAATTTTCCAGTTTGATAATGGTTACATTGATGATTTTTTCCCCATTTTTTTCCATTTTTTCAAATCTGACCCCAAAAACGTACCGGCGCACTATACCCGCAAATTTACAGTAGTCATCGAAATGTCACATAGAAAAATGTATTGGTTGTGTAAAAAGAACTTTTCAGAATCCATACTAACCAACCTGAAGAAAATGTTCAGAAATGGTTTAATGAACTTGTATTTAACTCTCTGGTTGGCCCAGATAGAAGTGCACATGGGGTCTCAGTGTGTGTGGGAACCAATCAAACACCCAGGTTTAGGCTTGGTGGGGCAGGTGACCAGTACCATCTCAAATCTGATAGGGGAATTGAACCCGAGTCGTCCTGATGAAAGACAAGCCCACTATCCAGGAGCTGACAGATGGTTTGTTGTGACTAATGTAGACCCTGATGGGAACATTTATCCAATTAAGATAAAAAATAATTGATAAAATCATTATCTTAATATATGACCATTTGCTCAGTTATTGATGTCTTTGTTCTGGGTAATAACTAAGCCTAAACCTGGGTGTTTGATTGGTGGTTCTTAACAAAGATGTTCTGGGTATAACTAAGCCTAAACCTGGGTGTTTGATTGTTGGTTCTTAATAAAGATGTTCTGGGTATAACCAAGCCTTAAACTGGGTGTTTGATAAGTGGTTCTTAACATCCTTGTTCTGGGTATAACCAAACCTAAACTTGGGTGTTTGATTGGTGGCTCTTAACAACTTTGTTCTGGGTATAACCAAGTCTAAACCTGGGTGTTTGATTGCTGGCTCTTAACATCTTTGTTCTGGGTATAACCAAGCCTAAACCTGGGTGTTTGATTGCTGGCTCTTAACATCTTTGTTCTGGGTATAACCAAGCCTAAACCTTGGTGTTTGATTGGTGGTTCTTAACAAAGATGTTCTGGGTATAACCAAGCCTATAACTGGGTGTCTAATTGGTTGATCTTAACAACGATGTTCTGGGTATAACCAAGCCTAAACCTGGGTGTTTGATTGGTGGCTCTTAACATCTTTGTTCTGGGTATAACCAAGCCTAAACCTGGGTGTTTGATGGTTGGTTCTTAACAAAGATGTTCTGGGTATAACCAAGCCTAAAACGTGGTGTTTGATTGGTTGATCTTAACAACGATGTTCTGGGTATAACCAAGCCTAAACCTTGGTGTTTGATAGGTGGTTCTTAACATCCTTGTTCTTGGTATAACCAAGCCTAAACCTGGGTGTTTGATTGGTGGCTCTTAACATTTTGTTCGTGGTATAACCAAGCCTTAACCTGGGTGTTTGATTGGTGGTTCTTAACAAAGATGTTCTGGGTATAACCAAGCCTAAACCTTGGTGTTTGATAGGTGGTTCTTAACATCCTTGTTCTGGGTATAACCAAGCCTAAACCTGGGTGTTTGATTGGTGGTTCTTAACAAAGATATTCTGGGTATAACCAAGCCTAAACCTAGGTGTTTGATTGGTTGCTCTTAACAAAGATGTTCTGGGTGTAACCAAGCCTAAACCTGGGTGTTTGATTGGTGGCTCTTAACATCTTTGTTCTGGGGATAACCAAGCCTAAACCTGGGTGTTTGATTGGTGGTTCTTAACAACGATGTTCTGGGTATGATCAAGACTAAAACAGTGTTTGATTGGTGGATCTCAACATCTTTGTTCTTGGTTTAAGCAATCCAAGAACAGAGTTAATAATTTTGAGTTTGAGGTTCATGGCTTCTGGGTCACCACAATTCAGAAAAACCTATATTTTATTCTGTTGACCTTATTTTTACAATTTCTTGAACAATTACTCTGTTTGTTATACTGTTAAACTCCATCAGAACTCACCCGGTCGCCACCAAACAGGATAAGCTCAGCGTCGTCCATGGTGTCGCCTCCAGGAAAACGAATACTGGAGCGTATGATTGACACATAATCCACCTTCCACTTCTCTATCTCCGCCTCCAGAGCTCGTATACGCCTAAAACAACCAATCAGAAATCAGTCCTTCCAAATCTTCTACTTAAACTACTGTCAGATAACTCTCCTAGTCAATACTTAAACAACAAATTAGAAATCTGTCCTTAGAAATCTTCTACTAAAATTACTACTGTGTCATAAATCTGTCCTAGTCAATCCTTAAACAACAACAAATCAGAAATCAGTCCTTAGAAATCTTCTACTAAAAATACTGTCAGATAACTCTCCTAGTCAATACTTAAGCAACAACAAATCAGAAATCAGTCCTTAGAAATCTTCTACTAAAAATACTGTCAGATAACTCTCCTAGTCAATACTTAAGCAACAACAAATCAGAAATCAGTCCTTAGAAATCTTCTACTAAAAATACTGTCAGATAACTCTCCTAGTCAATACTTAAGCAACAACAAATCAGAAATCAGTCCTTAGAAATCTTCTACTAAAAATACTGTCAGATAACTCTCCTAGTCAATACTTAAGCAACAACAAATCAGAAATCAGTCCTTAGAAATCTTCTACTAAAAATACTGTCAGATAACTCTCCTAGTCAATACTTAAGCAACAACAAATCAGAAATCTGTCCTTAGAAATCTTCTTAAATTACTACTGTGTCCTAGTCATTACTTCAGCATCTATCCTAGTCATTACTTCAACATCAACCTGTCCTAGTCAATACTTCAGCATCTATCCTAGTCATTACTTCAGCGTCTATCCTAGTCAATACTTCAGCATCAACCTGTCCGAGTCATTACTTCAGCATCAACCTGTCCTAGTCATTACTTCAGCATCAACCGGTCCTAGTCAATACTTCAGCATCAAACTGTCCTAGTCAATACTTCAGCATCAAGTAATGCTGATGCTGAACTAAACAGCTCTCCTGGTGAATATTAATCTACAACAAGAGAACATTTTATGCCAATGAACCTTCACCCACAGTATATATTGATATTTCAAGGAAAAGTTTGCCTATTAAGCACTGTTTAAACGGAAGATGAATCTGTAGGAGAGTTGACAAGATCAGCTAATGGCCAACATTTCATGCTGCTTATGTTCATCACCACTTTGTAGTAGACATTATAATGTATTCACTGATTCTCCTCGTTACTTACTCCTCTTGTTGGAAGAAGGTTTCCCGCTCTGTCTGTCGGAGCTTGGCCAGTTTTTTCACCTCTAGGTTGAGGAAGCGGTTCTGGTGCTGTAAGACGCGGAGTCTCTCTTCCATCTCCTTCTCTGATTTAACAGTTCCAGGTGAGGCTGCTGACTTACTGAGGAGAACAAAGGTCAAACAGTAATAAAACTTCCACTCCATGTATCTAAAAATACCAATTACTACCACTAATGATGATGATCTTAACAGCAGAATGAAATGATAGCTGGAAAGTTCTTAGCCAATCAGAAGCCATGGTGGATATCTTTGATTATGGGATCTGTATATTTGTCATTATTCCTGAAGTAAACTATCCTTTTATCATGAAATATGAACAAATCACATCAATAATAGAACTTACTTTATACAATATGTCTTAACCAATCAGAAAAGACATACAGCATCAATGTTGAGTTCATGGATCTAAGTAATATGGTGCTATTACAGCCAGCCAATAACCACCACTGACAAGTCAGACAAGGCCCAACTATGTAGTTAAGGCCCCACTATGTAGTAAAGGACCCACTATGTAGTTAAGGTCCCACTATGTAGTTAAGGCCCCACTATGTAGTTAAGGCCCCACTATGTAGTTTAGGCCCCACTATGTAGTTAAGGCCCCACTATGTAGTTAAGGCCCCACTATGTAGTTAAGGCCCCACTATGTAGTTAAGGTCCCACTATGTAGTTAAGGCCCCACTATGTAGTTAAGGCCCCACTATGTAGTTAAGGCCCCACTATGTAGTTAAGGCCCCACTATGTAGTTAAGGCCCCACTATGTAGTTAAGGCCCCACTATGTAGTTAAGGCCCCACTATGTAGTTAAGGCCCCACTATGTAGTTAAGGCCCCACTATGTAGTTAAGGCCCCACTATGTAGTTAAGGCCCCACTATGTAGTTAAGGCCCCACTATGTAGTTAAGGCCCCACTATGTAGTTAAGGCCCCACTATGTAGTTAAGGCCCCACTATGTAGTTAAGGCCCCACTATGTAGTTAAGGCCCCACTATGTAGTTAAGGCCCCACTATGTAGTTAAGGCCCCACTATGTAGTTAAGGCCCCACTATGTAGTTAAGGCCCCACTATGTAGTTAAGGCCCCACTATGTAGTTAAGGCCCCACTATGTAGTTAAGGCCCCACTATGTAGTTAAGGCCCCACTATGTAGTTAAGGCCCCACTATGTAGTTAAGGCCCCACTATGTAGTTAAGGCCCCACTATGTAGTTAAGGCCCCACTATGTAGTTAAGGCCCCACTATGTAGTTAAGGCCCCACTATGTAGTTAAGGCCCCACTATGTAGTTAAGGCCCCACTATGTAGTTAAGGCCCCACTATGTAGTTAAGGCCCCACTATGTAGTTTAGGCCCCACTATGTAGTTTAGGCCCCACTATGTAGTTAAGGCCCCACTATGTAGTTTAGGCCCCACTTTGTAGTTTAGGCCCCACTATGTAGGTGGGACATTATATCATTCCTGTTCACATCCAGTAAGTGATTTGACCTTTTGACAGGTTGCCATCCCTAATTCCTGGATCCTGGTAATATGGCATCATTCCTATAGTATATCAACCAAATGTTATTTTCCTTCAATATGAATACTTGAAGGTCAGAAAGGGCAATACAATGTATTTTGACAGCACACCACCTGTCTATTTTTAGTAACAGTAATCTTGACCTGAACATAAGAAGCTGTTTTTAAACCCCTTTCCTACATGGATGGATGGATGTGTAACAGAGAGTCAAATTGAAACGGTAGGAATCAGCTATATTTTGTACCATGGTGACAGATGGATGGACAGACACTGTGATTACTATATAGCACCCGCATTTCTGATGCAAGGCTCTAAATGATAGAAGAAACAAAGGCCTCTGATGATGTTTTTATTAACTGTGTCACTTGTCTATATTGCTTCAGGTATGATGATAGTTTGTAGTCACCTGTTTTTTAGAGTTAACATTTTGGGGTCAGACCCAGACGTGTCTAGTCGCCCCTCCAGGAATCGGATGGCATCATCACGCTGGGCCAGCAACTCCTGGTAGCCTGACTGTTGGTTTATCACCTTGGCAAGCTCACATTTGGTGGATCTGTAACGAATTCAACAATCACACAGGTAACACACAAGAGTGACAAGTTTTGGAGCCCTCAAGGCAGACGTCAACGAATAAACAAATTGGAGCAAATTTAGACTGCTATGTGGTTCTTATCGTTTATCAGCAATGTTATTTATACATTCTATCAGGACGGTCATGATCAGTGTGCAATCACTCTCTTTATTTTACTCAGACAACTAAAGACAACCCTGCTGTCATCACTGATCAATGCCATTGCGTGCCTGTCTATAGCACATTCTTCATCACCGTGATACTGATACAGTCCAAAGGGAAGGAATATATATCGATAAAACAATGTTAATAAACTTATTTTGACTTCTGTATCTGCTACATTTTTTAATGACAATAAATTGTTTCGCATATGATATTTATAATATTTTATATTTATAGAAAATAAAGGAAATCTGCAAAAAAAATATACATATGGATATCAAACTTGTGGTAGTGCCTGCAGAATAGCAAGACCAACTCATACATCATTTTGATCAGCCAATGATGAGGACTTATGTCATGAATATTTATCTTTTCCAAGTGTTTTTCACAATTTTATTCCAATGTAATCAAAAAGCTTTTATTTCTACAGGCATTTCAGTAAAATAGTGTGAAATGGCTTGTTTTTACGTCATTCCCTGAGAGCTCACTGTAGACATAAAAGGAATGGTTATATTTGCTTTGAATTACTGATGACTTCAACAAACTGATGGTATGCATACAGTGATGCCAAAAAAATAAAAAAAAATATCAGAGCTCTGGAACTGGACCCCCAAATATACTGGACCCATGATAGAAACTTCTGTCATCCTCAATATACATACATGAGCTCCTTCTCCAAGTCCATCAGTCGACTGGCTAGTTCTGATGAGGTTGTCTCCCCTTTGTCTATTGCTGAGTCACTGGACACAGACAGTGAGCTGCTGATAGAAAACAAGCAAAAACCATGACACCAGTTGTGATGTAAATAATAACTATAAAATAATCACAATGAAAGTGTCAGTGACCATGGCAACTGTAAAATGGATCACTACAATAGTGTTGGTGATCATGACAACTGAAAAAGTAATTACAAGAATATTGTCTGTGACCATTACAAGTTTTAAAAATAATCACAACAATAGTTGGTGACCATGGCAACTGTAAAACTGATCACAACAATAGTTGGTGACCATGGCAACTGTCAAACTGATCACAATAGTAGTTGGTGACCATGGCAACTGTAAAACTGATCACCATAATAGTTGGTGACCATGACAACTGTCAAACTGATCACAACAATAGTTGGTGACCATCGCAACTGTCAAACTGATCACAATAGTAGTTGGTGACCATGGCAACTGTCAAAATGATCACAACAATAGTTGGTGACCATTGCAACTGTCAAACTGATCACAATAGTAGTTGGTGACCATGGCAACTGTCAAAATGATCACAACAATAGTTGGTGACCATTGCAACTGTCAAACTGATCACAATAGTAGTTGGTGACCATGGCAACTGTCAAAATGATCACAACAATAGTTGGTGACCATGACAACTGTCAAACTGATCACCATAATAGTTGGTGACCATGGCAACTGTCAAACTGATCACAACAATAGTTGGTGACCATGACAACTGTAAAAGTGATCACAACAATAGTTGGTGACCATGACAACTGTCAAACTGATCACAACAATAGTTGGTGACCATGGCAACTGTAAAAGTGATCACAACAATAGTTGGTGACCATGACAACTATAAAAGATAAAAGTTAACAGAACAATATTGCTGGGGTCTGAGTCCCAGATCGGACATGAAAAAATATGGGGTCGCCTGCCCGGACACTTAGGTTCTGTTTCCTTCCACATTAAGACCCCTTGCACTCTACCATCAGGGCCAACAGAAATGATTAATACAACTTGAAAGAACTTGTTTGATACATTTTTGTTAATAAATACAGTTTGATTAGGACCATGGCAACAGTGAATATGATTACAACATAGTGTTGGTACTGTAGCAGTTCTCATGTTAATTGCAACATTGACCATGGCAACTTGCAAATTGAATGGTGATTATGACAACAGCTACATTAAACACGACAACAGTTACATTAAACATGACAACTGTTACATTAAACATGACAACTGTTACATTAAACATGACAACTGTTACATTAAACATGACAACTGTTACATTAAACATGACAACAGTTACATTAAACATGACAACTGTTACATTAAACATGACAACTGTTACATTAAACATGACAACTGTTACATTAAACATGACAACTGTTACATTAAACATGACAACTGTTACATTAAACATGACAACTGTTACATTAAATATGACAACTGTTACATTAAACATGACAACTGTTACATTAAACATGACAACTGTTACATTAAACATGACAACAGCTACATTAAACATGAAAACTGTTACATTGAACATGACAACTGTTACATTAAACATGACAACTGTTACATTAAACATGGCAACTGTTATATTAAACATGACAACTGTTACATTAAAAATGACAACTTGTTATGCCATAACTGTCAGGTCCTGGGAACCTATTTAACTAACCTGTCGATCACGTATTACCTGGGGACCTATGTTACTAACTCTGTCAGAGATGTTCTACCTAGGGAACTATTTTATTAACCTGTCGGTCAAGTCTTACCTGGGGACCTATTTTACTAACCTACCTGGGACCTATTTTACTACCCTATCTGTCGTGTCCTACCTGGGACCTATTTTTCTAAACTGTCAGTCATGTCCTACCTGGGGAACTATTTAACTACCCTATCTGTCATGTCCTACCTGGGGACCTATTTTACTAACCTGTCTGTCTACCTGGGGACCTATTTTACTTACCTGCCTGTCTACCTGGGACCTATTTTACTTACCTGCCTGTCTACCTGGGACCTCTTTTACTAACCTGTCTGTCTACCTGGGACCTATTTTACTAACCTGTCTGTCTACCTAGGGACCTATTTTACTTACCTGCCTGTCTAAGACTGCCTGGGGACCTATTTTACTTACCTCCCTGTCTACCTGGGACCTATTTTACTTACCTGCCTGTCTACCTGAGACCTATTTTACTAACCTGTCTGTCTAAGACTACCTGGGGACCTATTTTATTAACCTGTCCATCTACCTGGGGACCTATTTTACTTACCTGCCTGTCTAAGACTACCTGGGGACCTATTTTACTTACCTGCCTGTCTACCTGGGACCTATTTTACTAACCTGTCTGTCTACCTGGGACCTATTTTACTAACCTGTCTGTCTAAGACTACCTGGGGACCTATTTTATTAACCTGTTCATCTACCTGGGGACCTATTTTACTTACCTGCCTGTCTAAGACGACCTGGGGACCTATTTTAGTAACCTGTCCATCTACCTGGGACCTATTTTACTTACCTGCCTGTCTACCTGGGACCTATTTTACTAACCTGTCTGTCTACCTGGGGACCTATTTAATTTACCTGCCTGTCTACCTGGGACCTATTTTACTAACCTTTCTGTCTACCTGGGGACCTATTTTACTTACCTGCCTGTCTACCTGGGACCTATTTTACTTCCCTGCCTGTCTAACTTGGACCTATTTTACTAACCTGTCTGGCATGCCCTAACTGGAAAACTATTATACAACCCTGTTTGTCATGTCCTAACTGGAGAACTATTTTACTTACCTGTCTGTCTACCTGGGGACCTATTTTACTTCCCTGCCTGTCTACCTGGGACCTATTTTACTAACCTTTCTGTCTACCTGGGGACCTATTTTACTTACCTACCTGTCTAAGACTACCTGGGGACCTATTTTACTTACCTGCCTCTCTAGCTTGTACCTTTGTTACTTACCTTTCTGTCTACCTGGGGACCTATTTTACTTACCTGCCTCTCTAGCTTGTACCTTTGTTACTTACCTTTCTGTCTACCTGGGGACCTATTTTACTTCCCTGCCTGTCTAACTTGGACCTATTTTACTAACCCGTCTGACATGCCCTAATTGGAGAACTATTTTACTTTCCTGTCTGTCTACCTGGGGACCTATTTTACTTACCTACCTGTCTAAGACTACCTGGGGACCTATTTTACTTACCTGCGTGTGGAACTTGGACCTATTTTACTAACCCGTCTGACATGCCCTAATTGGAGAACTATTTTACTTACCTGTCTGTCTTCCTGGGGACCTATTTTACTCACCTGTCTGTCTACCTGGGGACCTATTTTACTTCCCTGCCTGTCTAACTTGGACCTATTTTACTAACCCGTCTGACATGCCCTAATTGGAGAACTATTTTACTTACCTGTCTTTCTACCTGGGGACCTATTTTACTAACCTGCCTGTCTACCTGGGGAACCTATTTTACTTATAGGCCTGTCTAACTTGGACTTATTTTACAAACCTGTCTGGCATGCCCTAACTGGAAAACTATTATAACTGGAGAACTATTTTACTTACCTGTCTGTCTTCCTGGGGGCCTATTTTACTAACCTGTCTGTCTACCTGGGGACCTATTTAATTTACCTGCCTGTCTACCGGGGACCTATTTTACTAACCTTTCTGTCTACCTGGGGACCTATTTTACTTCCCTGCCTGTCTAACTTGGACCTATTTTACTTACCTGTCTGGCATGCCCCAATTTGAGAACTATTTTACTTACCTGTCTGTCTAACTGGTGAACTATTTTACTAACCTGTCTGTCTACCTGGGGACCTATTTTACTACCCTGTCTGTCTACCTGGGGAACCTATTTTACTTATCTGCCTGTCTAAATTGGACCTATTATACTAACCTTTCTGTCTACCTGGGGACCTATTTTACTACCAGTCTGTCTACCTGGGGACCTATTTTATTTACCTGCCTGTCTAACTTGGACCTATTTTACTAACCTTTCTGTCTACCTGGGACATATTTTACTAACCTGTCTGTCTACCTGGGAAATATTTTATTAACCTGTCTGTCATGTCCTGGGGAACTATCTTACTAATTTAATTGTAGGGTGATCGGGTGGCGCAATGGATAGCGCACTTGCCTTTCACCAAAGCGGCTTGGGTTCAATTCCCTGATCGGACGTGAAAAGGTATGCGATCACCTGCCCGACCAGTGGGTTTTCTAGGGGTACTCCAGTTTCCTCCCACATGAAGACCCCAAGCACTTACATCCAGGCCAACAAGAGTGATTCATATAAAATAAAATCACTTGTTTCATGAGTGTTATTTTTTAAATAAATAAATATTTTAACTATTTTTCTAAATTGTCTGTCTACCTGGGGACCTATTTTACTAACCTGTCTGTGTCCTTCAGAAACATTTCCCTGTAGGTGACATACATCGGCCACTTGAATTTATCCATACCCCTGGATCATGTGACTGACCCTAACAGTACCTCTCTAATTAATACTTGTTTGTTGTTATGGCTCCTGTGTCAATGTTTCACTATCTAAATGAGGACATGAATAAGTTCAATGCTGGAGGGGTTTTATTGTCGGCAAAATTTAGCAGACTTTGATAAGTCCAACTCTGCCATATGTTTCCAGGCCTTCACCAGCTGACATTGAATGCATGGCAAATCAATATATACAACATATGTGTCTCGTACACTGGGGGTATCTATATCAGTGACCCTGTGGAGGTAGATATATATCAACATCTGTACAGCACTTAATATCAATATATACAACCTATGTGTCTCGTACACTGGGGTATCTATATCAGTGACACTGTGGAGGTAGATATATATCAACGTGTCTACAGCACTTAATATCAATATATTCAACCTATGTGGCTCGTACACTGGGGTATCTATATCAGGGACCCTGTGGAGGGAGATATATATCAACGTGTGTACAGCACTTAAAATCAATATATACAACCTATGTGTCTCGTACACTGGGGTATCTATATCAATGACCCTGTGGAGGTAGATAGTATATCAACATCTGTACAGCACTATAGGTAGGAAATCCAATACAAATGTTTGTGAGTGTGTTCCACAATAGAGATATCTATTCAAAGAAAATAAAGTTTAGAGTTTCTAAGTCGCCCCCTGATGCCGCCATCTCTTTAGGGACTCATTAGGGATATAATGCAGAAAATGGAGTATCATTATATCATTGTGTTTCAAACTATTTAGCTACACAGATAGCCCAGCCCTCCTTTAATGTCACTTCCCACCTGATAGATAGCCCCACCCTCCGATATTGTCACTTCCCACCTGATAGATAGCCCCACCCTCCTATATAGTCACTTCCCACCTGATAGATAGCCCCACCCTCCTATATTGTCACTTTCCACCTGATAGATAGCCCCACCCTCCTATATAGTCACTTCCCACTTGATAGATAGCCCCACCCTCCTATAATGTCACTTCCCACCTGATAGATAGCCCCACCCTCCTATATTGTCACTTCCCACATGATAGATAGCCCCACCCTCCTATAATGTCACTTCCCACCTGATAGATAGTCCCACCCTTCCCATCTATTTTTTCTATTTAACAAATAAATGTCTCACCAGCTGCCTGGTTCCTTGCTGTCTGTGGGGTCAGATGTAGACAGCTCCATACACAAAGCTGAATCCATGCATGCATCTGATCGCAATGTATTTACATGATGATCCTCTGAGGATTTTCGTGACCCACAAAATTCTCCGAAAACATCATCACTGTCCCCACCACTGCTGGAGTCCTGGTGACCTTGACTTGTGAAATATCTGTGTCGATCCTCGGGGTACGATCTGAAGCTGTCCGGACTACATGACAATCTCATGAGATTGTCATAGCTTTTCTTGAGTTGTCTCCCATGTGTGTCTAGACTGCGACTCATTTTCACCTGTCTGTGTTTGGGTGCTGGCAGGGGTATATCAGTGGCTGGTAACCAACAATTCACAACATTCAACAAATCATTAAAGCATGTTAGCTTCATATTCTTGTGTGTGTCTCACTACCTTCCAGTCTCAAACAATAAGACTTTAACTTGATACAAATTACAACACACTTCAGAACCAATAGATCAAGGACTGCAGTTTTAACAATCATAAGGATAAAATATATATATATATATATATCAGATATTATTGGCTTAATGATTAGTTAACAATATGTTAAGTACCATTCTAATAGCTACACAAAAAGTAATTAGTTAAAGCAAAGGCGAATATTTGAACCACACGTAATTAGCTACAACAAAATTAATTGTAAGTTAACTAGATGGCGATAAAGGAAAATAATAGTGCATGCATGTACAGAAAACAATCCATGTATAATACCGCTACAGAAGTACCCAGAATACGAGAGTTAATACATAGAATACAATAATTATAACCCAGAATACGAGAGTTAATACATAGCATACAATAATTATAATCCAGAAAATTACGAGAGTTAATACATAGCATACAGTAATTATAACCCAGAATACGAGAGTTAATACATAGCATACAATAATTATAACCCAGAAAATTACGAGAGTTAATACATAGCATACAGTAATTATAACCCAGAATATGAGAGTTAATACATAGCATACAATAATTATAACCCAGAATACGAGAGTTAATACATAGAATACAATAATTATAACCCAGAATACGAGAGTTAATATATAGCATACAAAAGTTAGTACTCCGAATACAAAAGTTAGTACTCAGAATACAAAAGTTAGTACTCAGAATACAAAAGTTAGTACTCAGAATACAAAAGTTAGTACTCAGAATACAATACTTATTACCAAAAATTCAAAAGTTCATACCTAGAATGCAATAGTTTTACCCAGAAAATAAGACTAAGACTAACTACCCAGAATGCAATAGATATTACCCACAAAGCACTTCTATAGACAGGTTAGGAGACACCCTGAGTGAATCAAAGTCTGAAGTGGATTTATTGGGGGGACTAATGGGGACCCGCGTTCCTTACTTTCTGATTAATTACTATTTTTTTTCAAAAAAAGTTAGCATCATCTTTCTAGTGTTGCATTTTCAACTGCATGATCATTTTCCTTTAGGTGTTCAGCTCTCCGTTCAGCTAATGATACTGCTCAATTATGTTATATTGAACAGTTGAATGTTATAAAATCATTTCCATATTTTACTGTTGAGTAATACAGATTTTGTTTCAAATTTATTTGTTTCCAAATAATGATGTTAAGTCTGTATCCTGGTACTTGTCACTCAGCATGTCTAATAGAAATGTAAATATTAATAACTACAACTTGTTACCATAGCTACCGTAGAAATGTTACCTTCAAACACAGGAGGCAATGACCTTGACCTTGTAGTGTCTATATGGGCTAAAGTATTAAATGCAAAAACATTGTCAGCATTTTGGGGGTGAGAAAGGCAATAAAATAATGAGAAATCTGAGAAATTTGTAAAATCAATCACAGCATGGCAGCCTATGTTACAGAGACACTAGAGCTGTTACAGTAGAAGGTGATAGGCCACTATGTTTCTTATACAGAGTTACAGTTTTTGTAGTGGGATGGAGATCATATATGACTTTTGTGGACAGGCGAGCTATTCACAACTCTCAATTACTTCAAATTTTCTACTCCTTTTTTTTACATTAAGTAAAAGATGGGTTGGAATATGATCTGCCTGGTGTCCGGTTTCTCGGCTGGTATGACCTTTCTTTACTTTTGTTTTTGCCAACACCTTCAATGACCTACCTTTAGACTTGTTCATGCCCACACTTGTATCGACGGACTCCCACATTCTTCCATTACGAGCTCTATGCCACTGTAACTTGCGTCGGTTAGCAGGATCAATGGCCATAGCTCCCTCCAGGTCACAACCTTGACCCCCAGGTCGGGTGATGTCAGATATTCTCTAAATTTCAGACATGTACACAAGTAAGTGGATATTTCAACACATTTCAAACACATTATAGCATTAATACCCCAAAACACAGCTGAACTGATGCTTCCGTGTTTCTAGGACTTATAATTCAAACTGAGGGATGAATCAATTTATAACCAATTCAGATGCAAAGATAAATTACAAATTATCAAGGATAAAAACCTAGGGACTAGTAACTGAAAGAAACCAAGGTAATATACTGATAGAAACCTAGCAACTAGTTAGTGATAGAAACCTATGAACTAGTTTAGTTACTGATAGAAACCTAGGTACTAGTTACTGATAGAAACCTAGGAACTAGGTACTGATAGAAACCTAGCAACTAGTTAGTGATAGAAACCTAGGGACTAGTTCCTGATAAAAACCTAGGAACTAGTTACTGATAGAAACTTAAGGGCTTGTTACTGATAGAAACCTGAGAACTAGGTACTGATAGAAACCTAGGCACTAGTTACTGATAGAAACCTAGGCACTTGTTACTGATAGAAACCTAGGGACCATTACAGATAGAAACCTAGGGACTAGTTACTGATAGAAACCTAGGCACTAGTTACTGATATAAACCTAGGCACTAGTTACTGATAGAAACCTAGGGACCATTACTGCTAGAAACCTAGGGACTAGTTACTGATGGAAACCTAGGCATTAGTTATTGATAGAAACCTAGGAACTAGTTACTGATAGAAACCTAGGCAATACTTACTGATAGAAACTTAGGGACCATTACTGCTAGAAACCTAGGGACTAGTTACTGATAGAAACCTAGGCATTAGTTATTGATAGAAACCTAGGAACTAGTTACTGATAGAAACCTAGGCACTACTTACTGATAGAAACCTAGGGACTAGTTACTGACAGTAAACTAGGGGATATTACTGATAGAAACCAAGGGACTAGTTACTGATAGCAACCTAGGGACCATTACTGACAGAAACCTAGGGACTAGTTACTGATAGAAACCTAGGAACTATAGTTACTGATAGAAACCTAGCAACTAGTTAGTGATAGAAACCTATAGGGACCATTACTGATAGACACCTAGGGACCATTACGTATAGAAACCTAGGGACTAGTTACTGATAGAAACCTAGGGACTAGTTACTGATAGAAACCTAGGGACTAGTTACTGATAGAAACCTAGGTACTAGTTACTGATAGAAACCTAGGTACTATACTGATATAGACCTATGTACTTATTACTGATAGAAACCTAGGCACTAGTTACTGCTAGAAACCTAGGGACCATTACTGCTAGAAACCTAGGGACTAGTTGCTGACAGTAACCTAGGGGATATTACTGATAGAAACCAAGGGACTAGTTACTGATAGAAACCTAGGGACCATTACTGACCGAAACCTAGGGACTAGTTACTGACAGTAACCTAGGGGATATTACTGATAGAAACCAAGGGACTAGTTACTGATAGAAACCTAGGGACCATTACTGACCGAAACCTAGGGACTAGTTACTGATAGAAATCTAGGAACTATAGTTACTGATAGAAACCTATGGCTAGTTTCTGATAGAAACCTATAGGGACCATTACTGATAAACACCTAGGGACCATTACATATAGAAACCTATGGAGTAGTTACTGATAGAAACCTAGGGACTAGTTACTGATAGAAACATAGACATGAGTTGGGAGCTGGAGAAGATAATGACTGTTGCTTTGTCTGATTTCTGAACAAAATAAACCATCCAACATTTTGCTTTTACACAAGTTTATGTGCCATATAGCTGTGTATATACCCTATTTAGTAATAAGACCTTGTCATTTGACAATTCATACTTATAATGGTATATAACAGTACCCTGGAGTAGTTCTGTTCAATTTCCTCCTCAGCTGGTCCATCAGCAGAGTTAGCTCCCTGGCTCACTCCCTTGTCTCGTTTGGCCTGTATGGATATTAACATCAAAAATCTTAATATCGTTTTTCTGAGAAATGTACAATACTACTCTGGTGATATACAAAGGGAGACAACTGGCATACAAAATTTTGAAAATACATTGTATCGGTTATTGATTTCTTAAGGTCTGGTGGAAGTACAGAATACTGTATAGGGTCTGATGGAGGTACAGTATATTGTATAAGGTCTGGTGGAGGTACAGTATATTGTATAAGATCTGGTGGAATTACAGTATATTTTATAAGGTCTGATAGAGATACAAAATATTGTATAAGGTCTGGTGGAGGTACAGTATATTGTATAAGGTCTGGTGGAGGTACAGTATATTGTATAAGATCTGGTGGAATTACAGTATATTTTATAAGGTCTGATAGAGATACAAAACATTGTATAAGGTCTGGTGGAGGTACAGTATATTATATAAGGTCTGGTCGAGGTACAGTATATTGTATAAGATCTGGTGGAATTACAGTATATTTTATAAGGTCTGATAGAGATACAAAATATTGTATAAGGCCTGGTGGAGGTACAGTATATTGTATAAGGTCTGGGGGAAGTACAGAATATTGTATAAGATCTGGTGGAGGGACAGTATATTGTATAAGATCTGGTGGAATTACAGTATATTTTATAAGGTCTGATAGAGATACAAAATATTGTATAAGGTCTGGTGGAGGAACAGTATATTGTATAAGGTCTGGTGGAAGTACAGAATATTGTATAAGATCTGGTAGAGGTACAGTATATTGTATTAGGTCTGGTGGAGGTACAGTATATTGTATCAGGTCTGGTGGAAGTACAGTATATTTATAAGGTATAAGGTCTGGTGAAGGTATAGTATATTGTATAAGATCTGGTGGAGGTAAAGTATATTGTATAAGGTCTGGTGGAGGTAAAGTATATTGTATAAGGTCTGGTGGAGGTACAGTATATTGTATAAGATCTGGTGGAGGTACAGTATATTGTATANTCTGGTGGAGGTACAGTATATTGTATAAGGTCTGGTGGAGGTAAAGTATATTGTATAAGGTCTGGTGGAGGTACAGTATACTGTATAAGATCTGGTGGGGGTACAGTATATTGTATAAGGTCTGGTGAAGGTACAGTATATTGTATAAGGTCAGGTGGAGGTACAGTATATTGTATAAGGTCTGGGGAAGGTACAGAATATTGTATAAGATCTGGTGGAGGTACAGTATAT